CTCGTTGGTATCTATAGTTATATTCGATATCGACATCGTTCCATAGGACTGGAAAAAGTATTGATTTACTTGATAATCCGTTGATTTCTTATTGGAGGATGTTTTCTCTACCAAATTTTGCCACGGTTTATTTGAGATGGGGAAATAGGTAAATTATACGAATATGTATGAAAAGGTCAAATGCATTAGAAAGTGAGTAACAATTTCTCACTACTTACACGGACCTGATCACACTGATCATCCTACAGACTGGAGAATTTGATCCTTTGAATCGCGCCAGCTTTTTCCCCGCTTTTGTCCTCTCATACACTCCTTATCCCGAACTTAGGGTGGGCGTGGCCGAGTTCTCCATTTGGAAATGGCGGCTATTGCGCTTTTAGTGGGATATCGCCGCTCACGGGAGATTGTAATCATGCCTTTTCCAGCAGAAAAGAGCACAGTTCTCCGACACTCGAATATCCCAATATCCCGAAAAACGCATCTGACGTCATGTTCCAATAAAGCCACTCCCTCCTCATCTCCGAGATATGGGGTGTAGGCTGGCAAGGCACTATGGGGCACTATGCTCACCGCAACCACTTTTCGACTTTTCACACACGCAACACCCGAAAACCAAGAAGTCTGTGACAGACGCTTATCCTGGGGCTACCATTCGTTCTTTCGCCACTTCCGAGCAAAGTTCAGCACTGGGACGGGTGAAATGGTGGTGTGAGAACGAGAAGTGACGTCTTGTTGGCCAGCCAGCTCTCGACAATTTGTTGAAGCAGGGCAAGCGACAACGATTGGGTGAAAACGTTTCGGTGTCGCGATAAACCCAGCCCCCTGGAGGCCCCAGCATCCGTGGCGAACAAGACGTTACAGTAAGAGTAGTAATCGGAGAAACCCTCTCGAGGTTGGATACCTCCCTCCTCCATCCCTGAAGAAATTCGTCTGACGACGCTGTACCCCGCTTCGAGCGCTCTACTGCTGTCCTTTATCTGCCTGCGGTCTCTTTTCGCGGCAGTACCATAGCAAAATTTCGAGCAGTTGCGGGGCCAAATGGGGTCCCGAATGGAACCTTCCAATCGGATCATGAAACGAATATTCTTAAGTTTGACTCTTTCGAAGCCCGGGCTCCGTGCAACTAAATAGGTATAAATATACTCGAAATCCCTGAGATCGGGTAGGCGTGGCTGCATGCTTCAACTTAACCTGAAGGTGTCTATGCTTCTGGTGAGATATTTTCATCTTGACACAATTGTTGTCGTGTCTCTGTCCAACACAGAACAAGATGACAGTTGTCCCAGACTGGAATATTCCACGAGTAACCAGTTCCGTGCCATGTTCAAATGCCACGCCTACTCTGGCTCAGGGATAAGGAGTGTACTTCGAAAGTGGACGCAACTTCCTAGTCGTAACTCCTTCATTCTGCTTACCTGTCGATGTTCACTTTGCATAGTGGCCGGTATCGGATGACCATTGACAAGCCATGAAATCCGTGACACAGGATTCGATGGTCTGTAATTGCAGACATTTGCTGCTTCCCTGATTCAATAGACCTCTTTTTCCTCTTTTATACAGCTTGAGGTCATATGACTGGGAGTCTGTGATAATTTAATCGCTGTACTCAATCAATTAATCAATTATATCTCTTCTGAAGGATAGTTGGCCATTCGGCAAATCCCATCCTATGATTGTTCGATGATGTAACGAAGGGAGTTGACCCTCAATTAGGCAATCAAAATTAGGTCTGTTCACTCATCCTTTAAGAGATTTAGGACCAAAGAGGAAGAAGGGTTCATCCCAGTAATGAAACCAATTTACTTAGCTGACAGCTGCTCAAATCTTTTCTGGAGAAAAAGCATTTTTACCAAGAATCCTAGGCTCCCAGAGCATTCATTTCGGATACCCCTTAGGAACCTTACTGCCTATCCTACA